GTGGGCTTGCGGCGTCTTCGGGTCCTCCTCCCCCAGAGCACTCCGCCGGCGCTCCTGATGGCGCTCTCCTCTTGCGGGGAGGGGGGCACCGCTCCCGGGGTGTTTGGGGCAAAAGGTGGCTCATGTACGCGTTCAGGAGTCTCTGCCTTCCTCCGGTGTCTGCTCAAGTTGAGCCATTGACGTCTGCTAGGTCCTCTATGGGTCCTCTACATCTTGATGCTGCTGTGATCCTCCAGCAAGGGAATGCATCTCTTGCCTGTTTGCGTAAGTTTCTGTCTGTTGCAATCAAGGCAAAAGCTCTGTTTGTCGTAAGCAGTTGGAGGGTGGAAAGGAAGAGGTGCATCTGCTAAGTCTCCTTTTTAAGTTGCTGTGTTTATAAGCATTGCTCACCAGACAAATTCATGCCATAGCTTTTGTTATATCTATTTTCTTGTATGAGAGATAGCTTTCTTCCTTATTAGTAGTAGTTGTTAAGTCTTTTATGTGTTCTTTCCTCCCTCCATGCCACTCTCTTCTGACAAGTCTCTCCTGGTTACCTTTAGGTATTTCTGCGACAGTAACTAATAACTTTGAGTATCGACCTGTTGTAAAGAATTGGGTTCAAACTGACTAAAACATGGTCTATAAGTTAATTACTCCTATCTTAGAAGTCTAGAAAATGAGTAACAAGGTGTAAGTATACTTGTTTTGTCTCCCTCTCAAACTTTCTGTTTCCACCTATTGGAGACAGCACCTCACAGCCCCACACAAGATCCTTGTCTCTAAATTGGAAAGATACAGGTTTGATGGATGGACTATTCAATGGATAAGGAACTGGCTGGGTGGCCACATCCAAAGAGTTGCAGTCAATGTCGAAATGGAGATCGGTAACAAGTGGTGTCCCTCAGGGGTCTGTATTGGGACTGATGCTGGCCAATATCTTTGTTAATGACCTAGACAGTGGGATTGAGTACACCCTCAGCAAGTTTGCGGATGACACCAAGCTGAGCGATGAAGCTGATACGCTTGAAGGAAGGGATGCCATCCAGAGGGACCTTGACAGGCTTGAGGAGTGGGCCAATGTGAACTTCATGAAGTTCAACAAGGCAAAGTGCAAGGACTTACACCTGGGTCGGGGCAGTGCCTGTTATCAGTACTGACTGGGGGATGAATGGATTGAGAGCGGCCCTGCAGAGAAGGACTTGGGGGTACCGGTAGATGAAAAATTGGACATTAGCCATCAATGTGCACTTGCAGCCCAGAAAGCCAATCATATCCTGGGCTGCGTGAAAAGAAGTGTGGCCAGCAGGTTGATTCTCCCCCTCTGTTCCACTCTTGGCAGTGCATCCAGCTCTGGGGCCCCCAGTACAAGTCAGACATGGACATGTTAGAGTGGGTCCAGAGGAGGGCCATAAAAACGGTCAGAAGGCTGGAACATCTCTGCTATGAAGAAAAACTGAGAGAGTTGGGATTGTTCAGCCTGGAGAAGAGAAGGCTCTGGGGAGACCTTATTGCAGCCTTTCGGTACTTGATGGCTTATAAGAAAGATGGAGAGAGACTTTTTACCAGGGCCTGCAGTGACAGGACAAGGGACAACTATTTTAAACAGAAGGAAGGTAGATTTAGGTTGGACATAAGGAAGAATCTTTTTTATGATTAGGGTGGCGAGACACTGGAACAGGTTGTCCAGTGAAGTTGTGGATGCCCCATCATTGGAAGTGTTCAAGGTGAGGTTGGATGGGGCTTTGAGCAAGCTGATCTAGTTGAAGATGTCCCTGCCCATGGCAGGGAGGTTGGACTGGATGATCCATGATGGTCCCTTCTGGCCCAAACTATTCTGTGATTCATCTGAGAAACTTGAAAGAGTTGGGAAGAAGTTGATCTCCTTGTCTTCACTGAAATGTTGAGTAGGGACCCCTTCACAGAAACATGCTTAAAGCTGTTGATTGCTGTAGGTTTTATTTTGTTTTTCCAAAATCCTTTCCCTCTCTATTGCATGTTTAAGTCTTCTGCAATGCCATAAATTTCCCATTTCTAGAATTGTCAATCTGTAATAGTTCTGTGACAAGAATTTCTGATTGAGATTTTAGCAGGATGTGGCAAGTTTCTACTCTTCTCCTACCTCCCCCAAATCAGTGTTTGCTTCTAAACAGTTTAATACCTACTGTATTCTTATGTAACTACATGTTTCTTTTAGCAACTGTTTAATTGTATATTAAAGGGTATTTCACATCAGCCTACAATTCTAAGGTGCTATTTTAGCTCTGCTTTTAGACACCCTTTAGAGATCTATACTTTTAAAGTATAACTCACTTCTGACATTTGGAATTTTTTTCTAATACAATTGATACATGTTCTTGTTTAAGAACACTTCAAACTTTTCACTAACAGAAATCTCAAATTATTGTGCTAGGTCTGCTCCCAAAAAGAAAAAAGAAAAAAAAAAAAAAGAAAAAAAAAATTGGAAAATAATTTGGGTTGCTTTATTGGAGTAGTGGAGGCCTCTGTTTTCTTCATGACTCTCTTTTGTAGATTTGAAAGGAGCTGTGATCTAAACTTAATCTAAGCTTTTTTCTTGGTATTGAGTATCTTATCTATGTCTGTGATACTTATAAAACTTAAACAGAGCATTAGAATAGAAACAGAAGAGACTGCGTTTATCAATCATAGTATGATGTATGAGGATTGAAGAGAGGTGGCTCACTTCTACTGACTTTGGATCTAGCCTTCTTTTTGAAATCATAGTTTCTATACATCTCCCTCTCTTCTGGCTGGAGTAGTAAGTTTGTTTGCAAGCAGTACATGTAACAAAAGAAAAAAAAAAAAAAGGAAGAGAACTCTAATTTTTATTATTTTTTTAAAATAAGTGTTCAACCTATTCCTGTACACTGGGATTCTACTCATGTAACTAAAATCTCTCTTGCATGTGTGTGACTAATGAAAGAGGAAACTTTGCCCATAATCATGGTAAGCTGCTGCGTGCAATCTGTAGTTCACTCCAACTGTTCACTTGTAGGTTAACTGAGGAGTTCTTTGAAGTAACAACTTTAAAAAATTAGTGTAGGTTGTCTGCCACGTATATTATCACCCATATTTTTATGCATGTGACAGGAAGCCCATCCTTACCCTGCTTTTTATTTTTGTTCTATAAGGAACTCTAGCACTGAAGACTCGCCCTTCTAATGTAAGACTTCTCTTGAAAGAAGTCTACGGTCAATTGTAGTATATGTGTTAGTTTGTCATCAACTCAGCTATTCATATAAAGCTCGTAGAGACTGTTAAATCAAAAAGTCTTTGTGGAAGAAATCCCGGTCATGAGAGGTGTGTATGGCATCCTTTGTATTGAGGTGTGATGCACGTATCCCTAGGTGATAGGGCAACCACCAGACAAGTTATTTAGCATCTCGCTGTTTTTCAGACTTGTAAGTCTAATTTCCTTTCAGCACCGGATAAGTTTGAAGTATGGTATTTGTGTGTGATTAGTGGTCTACATGCAGCTTCCCCTCTCCTTGTCTATTGATGCAGTTAGGCTGGTTTGTATACACGTTCTCTTTTTTGAAGAAGACCATACAAGTATTACCAGTTTAGTCTTTGATAAGTGATTTATAATGCTCAATTATTTCCAAAGAGTTTAGGGGGAAAAAAGCTTAGCTCCTTAAGAGATTTTTAAATTAATTAGAGAAATTTCTCATAAGAATTAGTAACAAGAAGCTGAAGCTAGGTACAAACAGCCATCTTTAACCATTTGTATAGTTATCCTGCTGTGAATGTCTTTAAATCCTAGCTTTTGATACCTTCCTGGAATAAGTGCTTTAGTGAAATACAAGGTAATGAGGTAATTGGGTGAAATGTAATGTATAAATAATAGGAGAGTTGAGATTCAGTGATCTAGTGGTTCTTCCTGCCTGTACGTTCCCTGAGTTTGTACTTCAGAAGGTTTGATCTACTTGGCTATGTTCCTTCTCAGCACTTGTGTTTTATTATGTTTGCGGAGAAGCTATGGCTTCAGAAGGAGCTGAAGGATTCCATTTATATAATGTCTGTATCATAATAGTGCACTTACAGCTAATGTGGGGTGAGTGGTCTTACTCTGCATCCGTGTTTACATTCTGCGATCCCATGCCTGAAGTCCTCCGTAAGCCTGATGGAGCCTGTTGTCTGCTGGGGATTCTTTTGCTTCTGCCCGTGATGGCCTTAGAAGGCCTCCGCCTTCCCCACTTGTAAAAGATTTATGTTGCAGTGAATTTGCGCTATGATGGAATGTGACGGCAGAGGCTCCCAGTGGTGGAGCTATCCTTTCTCTCTCTTCCCACTTTTTTGAGACCATCCACTAAGTAAATGGCTTGCTTAGTTTCCAAAATCAGTCAGCTGCATAGGCCTAGTTACGTTATTTTTGCAAACAGCTCTGCTTCTGAGAAAATCATTACAAGGTCTGCTGAGTTACATGGAAGAACTCTATTTAAAATTTTAAAAAAAAGTCTACCTCAACTTTTTTTTGGTAGAACTAAGGTTTGAAAGCTCTCTGTTCCTGTGCTTTAGCCAGTTCTCAACTAAGAGCTTAAAGCTAGCTTCCCATGGTGCTATGTCTCTGCAGTCACTCACTGCGGTTAGTTGGGGATCTCTGCGCTCTGCAGTTGGAGCCATTGCCGGCCTCTTTCTTCCTCATGTCCTCACAGTGTCTAAGAACTAGCATACTAGTTTTGCATTATGAATCTTTCTGTGTTTAACCAGGCTGTCCACCTCACTTTTACACTCATACCTGATCTTGCAGAGAGCTTGCCTGCCTATGCAGTAATTTCTGTCTTTTTTTTTTCCCTTATTTGTGGTCTCCAGCAGTTACACAGGGTTGCATGCCTCTCTTCGGACAGTGAATTTAATCCTTCTGACAAAAAGCTTCTTGTCCTTAGCTGTCTTTCACAAACCTCCTGGCAATCTTAGTCAGAGACTTTGTAGACTGCTGTACAAGCTTGTCAGTTGCAATGACTAAGAAGTGCCTCCCATTGAATCAAATGGTATTGCTGTAAATATTCAAGCTACATCTATTTGGTTTTGAATCCTAAAAAGATTTTTGTGTGCCAAAGTGCTTCTGGAGGTACGCATGCTCTAGAAGTATTTCAGTCTTCAGAGAGTAGTTTGCTACCTGAAGTCCGTAATATGGCCCTAATAATTTAATCTCTGTAATCTCAGTGGGGGTTTTGTTATTGTTGTATGTGTGGAGTTTGGGGCTTTTAAAAATTTTTTTTTTTTTTTTTAAAGCTCTGAATATTGAAATAAATCTTAAATTTTCATGTGAGGGGAAAGCATAGAGTTCATTCAAAAGGTGGTATGGAGGACTTTTTACCTATGCTAATAACAGAAGCAAATGCAAGTTGACAAGTTAGGTAAAAATTCACAGTGAGGGGAAAGTTCTGAGAAGGTTATGTGGCCAAGTTGCTTGTAGTCCAGTGGGACATTCCTCAAATAAAACAGTTTACTGACAATACAATAAAAGCCAGCAATATTAAGAGAATTAAAGAATAGTTATGTTTCCTGTGCAGTGCTTCAAAGTTTGTGGACAATTTCTAAATAAGGCATGAGAGTGTGTGTGGTTTGGGTTTTATTTTGTGGGTTTGTTGGTTTTTTGCCTTTGTAGGAGAGGAGTGTGGGGACTGGAAAGATGGTTAGTTAAGAATAAACTTAAAATGCTTCAAACAAAAACTTGCAGAATATTTTTACGTTTACATTTTATAATTTGTTTTTATTGTTATTTTTCCTTCTGAAAGAAATGAACTTACAACAGAGAAGTTTAAGATGGTTGGCTAAACAGAAGACTGATGAAAAATTAATTTTTTCAGCAATGCTTCAAACTGGGCTGGTCCTAAAATTACATTTCTCAAACACAATGTTT